TTTTGTTTTATGTCATTTTTTGAGAAGATTGCTACTCCTCCCCACTTATGCTTGTGCGGGAGAACTCTGACGTCAGTGTATAGCCTTCGATGTTTATTTGCTTTATTTGGTCAGAAGTATGGCCATGTTCAGTTATAATTATAAGATCAGGTTATTAATTTCGATTATTAGTTTTTCGATCTTTTTTTGGAGGCCTCTTTGTATGTTTACGTAGTAGAGTGTCAGTCCGGTTTTTTTGTCTAGGATTTTGGGATTTGATTTGGGTTTTTGAAGTTTGGGTCAGCTTGGAGGGGTTTTTGGTTTTCTTCTGTGTTGGCTTCAATCGGGTAGTTGTCATGTCCGGGCTTAGTTTTAGGCTGGTTTTCATTTTCGGGTTTTTTTGGCTCTGGAGTCTCCTGCTCCATTGTCGTCAAGTCGTTTAGTTGTTCAGTCGATGCCTTCGAAGTTTGGTCCTCTGTAGGTAGCCGATCCTCCGTCGTTTTGGATTGTCCGATTGGGTGGTGTTTTATGTTGGTTAGGTTCAGGATACTGCTAGCTGGTTTGTGCGCTCCTTTTCTATTTGGGTGTATCTGATCAAGTCCCATACAGTCATCTGTGAGTAGGCTGTTGATGTCTACATAATTTACTTTTAATTCTGAGCACATGAATTTAATAGCTTCATTCACATCGTCAATAAACTTATCCCTGACATCTTTTCTGTATGGGATATTATTGATATACCACTCTGTGGTGGTGAATTGGCTCATTTTTGCCTCTATCATTTTCCATATTGGTCTCATGATTTGATTTGGGGTTTTAGAAAAGGTGGTGTTGTTTGATCCTATGTTCAGTATTATTTTGGGGGGAGGGTATTTGAGGTAGTGTAGGTAGCGGCTACATTCACTAGTTGTGGCTCCAGGCATTATTTTTGGAGTTATGTTAGCTTTGTGGTGGGTTTTCATAATATTTGTAGCTCCACGGAGCAGTGAATCACTTACAAATAAGGCTTCAGGCCTATGCTTGTAGTAGTGTCGGCTTGGATCAAGTGGCTGAGTTTGATGCAATAAAGCTGGGTTATCTGATTTGTGTGGGTTTGTTGCAGTTATGTCTATGGATGGTATTTCATTTTCTGTAGGCGTATGTGCATTTTCTTCGTGCGGGTGGTTACCAGTACCGATGTGTTTCTTTGGGTTTATGGTTTTCTCTTCAGGTTTGCCGTTCATTTTGTCCTGGGTTTTCACACAGTGTTTGTTCTTGTCTATTGTAGATTTTTGGGGTGATAGGCCTAGTGGTTTAAGTGGGACATGTTTGATGTTTGTGTTTTTAACTAGGTCTTGTATAGTTTCTTCGAGTTTATATATGACTTGCATTTTTTTTTTTGCAATTATTTCTGAGAGCTTTAAGTTTTCTGCATTTTTTCCGTCCAGCTGTTCCTTAAGATCGTTTATATCAGTCATAAGAATTTCTGCCTAAGGCCGACATGTTCCTTAGACACAGCTGTTAATTAAAAGCCCATACAGCTAATGGCAACTAAGGGACCTACAGTTTATGGTGGAATCCGAACCAAATTTTTGCCTTGGTATATACGAATTGGTCTAATTATTAGGATAGTACTGCGAATAGTCGTAGTACTCACTCGTGCGGACGTTAATCCACACAAGAGAGTATCGCATCCACAATACATGCCTATAAATCCACAACACAATTTGTGAAAAGTGTTGTTAGCATTCATATTTTATTGGTGTGAAACTATGATTAATCTTGTTTTTAAATGAATTTTCGGATGCCAAAGTAGTCATTCTATCTATACAAACCAAGTGCAACTATTTCTTTCTTTCAAATATAAAATATGCCACTGATGGAATCGTCTACTGTCAAAATGCTTTAACTTTTGATGTTTAATATTTTGATGGGCTTAATGATTCTGTATTTACAAATGCTTTATTTTTAAAACAAGTCGACAATAAGTTTTGCTCGGTTAAAACTTGTTTGGATGCAAAAGAAACAGTTGGAGTCTCAATTGTCTCAACTATGTCCAGTTTTCTCAAAATGGTTAAACAAATTTAACGGAAACGGACTGTATAGCTCTCTATCTAGAGTCAAAGTTAAAACCGTAACCAAAAAATTGTGTTTGGAGGATTTTGCCTACAGACTAGGAGAGCAGTTCCGCCCTCTAACCGAGTTTTACCACTTGTTAATTTTTGTGTACTGTATGTACGTTACAACAAGATTGCATTTTAAAATATTTACCATCGTTTAATTTATTAGTTGAGTCTTATTTAAAAACTCCATTAATCAGAGTGGGCCTTCCCATGCTTTGGATACGCTATTTAACTCCAACATACTCTGGTCCAATGATCACACGCTATTCGGGGCTAATCGCACTTTACAGAAAATTAAGCTGGGTAATATCCTTATAATGTTTATGGCAGCACTTTAGTTAGGTTATTGTAGATCGTCGCGAAGCGGTGTGGGTAGCCTTGCTCTTCAAGGTCCTCAGACCGTTAGGGCATGCTTGGCTGCTTGTGTGTAATATGGTCTTATTAATAATGAGACCGATGGACAAAGAAGCTTTGAGGGGACAATTGTTGAGAGAGTTTGTTTTTACTTTTATTCCTTATGAATTGATTGTTCTACGGTTAGCTTTGTTAAATAGATGTACACAATGATAATTGTGAAAATATACACCAAAATATAGTGGGGCGGCGAGCCTAGAGATGTCCAACCCCTGAAAGCAGCGGCGCTTCGGGGCTATAGAATACAGCTTCACATATACATAGTAGAGCGGTGACGGTACCGAGTCAAAAAGCTGGACTACAGTAATTTTGAAAATGCATCAACCTAATTTTGCATATTATTAGGATGAAATGGCCAATGCTGTTTCGTCGAACAGACATCAAGATAAAGCCATACAAACAAATTACAAAAGTAATCACTGTTTTTTAATTCAAAATTTAAAAGAAATGAGAAAAGTAAAACAGCAGTAGAAAATGTATCAAAATGATTTATTGTATTTGTAAGAAACGTTTACAATGTAAATGGTACGCAAAATGCCTAATACGCTCGATAAATTATTCCGCACGAGTCGCATGAGAGTGCACGGTTTTTCTTGAATACAGCAAAATGCCACTATGCCGCACCAGTTACATAAATAGTTATTACCGTTGGAAACTAAAGTATACATATTTAGCATTCCTTCCACTACTTGTATGGACTAACTGTTTAATTGAATGGCCTTGTCATTGGGAGTAGTTGTATTTCCACTTTGAGATGTTGTACTATAACAATGTCAAAAGTAATACTGAAAATCACTTCATCTATACTTTGGCGTTTGATACTTTAACTGTTTGATGACAAGAGGATGTTCGATGGTGGAGGACATAAAACATATTTTATTTTATATTAAGTTGTACTCATAGTTTGAAAGTTGGCGTATGCAAATAAAAACAGTATTTTACAACAATACTATTCGTTATGTGGCTCAGTTGCAATAACTCTTTTACTATAAATTTGATCAAAACATTAACATGAAGTCTTGCTAATACTAAATGTATTGTTTGGAATTGTAAAATGTCTAATCTTAATCTCACATCCTAATTTTATTTGGGATTCTTGGAGACCGCTATAAGACTTTCTGGTGCACCAGAGGCATGCAAAATAATCAACTGTGCTTTATAATCTTAGTTGATGTTAACAGTTTTGTATTTTATAAGTTTAGTATTCAAATATCACATTTAGGTTCCCTTGCATACTGCGTAGCAGCATTTATTGCAGTTATTTTTGTCAATTTATTAAAAACAGGAACGATTAATGTAGGTGTATGTTGTGCAACCACATCTCATCGACGTGTTTTACAATTCTGTTTTGTGGTTTCCTACATAGACAAAAAGAATTAAATATAGACCATCAGCCGTGCTGTGGTTACCATGGTTACTATAGGTTCTGGCACACACCGTTGGGAGCGCCGTCGTATGTTTTCTGTGGCGCCGTGTAGTTACCTAGCGCGTACTCCATAACTACATAACGCTCCCAATGGTGTGCCCAGAAACTATGGTAACCGCAGGACGGCTGACAGTCTATATTTAATTCTTGTTGTCTATGGTTCCACCCACGGCTATAAATTAATTGTTGTCCTTTCAAAAAGTTTCTTGCACGTCCACAATTTCCTTACTCCTCCTTCTACACACAGTACTAAATCATTGCCTCTCAAAAACTTGAGGTTATATTAGAACAAAGTTGATTCTACTATCAGGAGAGGTCCCGGGCTGGGGACCGGAGTAGCTGAGTTAAAAAAATAATGTCCAGAAAATATCATGAGCTTTTGTCAACAGTGGGTCTCGAAACCCTTAATCATCCAAAGTTATCGTTTTTAATCCAGTGATTATTTTATAGCTCTTTGGGCTACTCTCTGTTAGTGGTATTACTGTTAGACATGTATGCTATCCTTCCTGCTGACTGTTTCTTGTCCGCTATAGCTGTAGCTGTACACGTTGTGCTGTGTAATCGTTCTCTGTTTTACTTTTCTTATACTATTATGTCAGCAAAAAATATAGTACGTACTATGTTTTATACAAATCACAGATTTGTTGTATGATCGAAACAATTCTGGAATCCAATCTGCAAATCTACAATCCAAGTTGAATGTAATCAATAAACGTTATAAGTGGCATTGCTTAGCATGTCATATTTTACATAATGTTTCAAATTAATTGTTAACTCGATTTAAAAGAAACTTAACTATAATTGTTGATTATAATTGACGTTTTTCTTAATTAACATCCATTGCTGTAGCCCCGAAACTACTACTTAGACTAAAATAAGGCGAAGGTTATTACGTTGTCTGCGGTTCCGAAATTGTAGTTTGTTCTTTAGTCATCATGTTTCGGCAGAACGCCATTGTCAGACTGTCGTGTTTTGATTTTCCTGTTCCGACAAACTACTAAAGTACAAACTAAAATTTTGGAACTGCAGACGAGGTAATAACCTTTACCTTATTTTAGTTTGTCTTAATCTTGTCGCAGACCCCGGCTCCCGAGACGTCACAGAAGAAGGAAGTGCAGTTCTGCTACAGTAGAGGCAGAATGTCACCTTGTAGCGCCATCTTCACGCTTCTCAGCTGTGCGGCGTTTCCGCCAAAGGGAAAACTGGGTCATCTAACAAGGTCTGTCTAGTTACTGTTTTGTTGACCACTTCCGATAATGGAAAAAAAGGAATTAACACTAAATCTAATACCCGTAATACTAAGCTAGCATATAAGTCAATCGCAAAATGAAGGCATCTAGAGATCGTAGTATGGTGTCAATTAATGTCATATATTTCCTCAACTTCATAAACGCTTCTTCTTCTCTACAGTAAAGACATTTCTGCTGTATCTTAACTTACTAGACCAACTACCTACAACTCCACTCTAACAAGTAGCTGCAACATTATAAGCTAATTAGTAACGCTCAACCTACGCATGTTTCGCAAGGTATGCATCACCTCTCAAAACTTCCCTATCCAAAGCTGAAGAGAAACAAATCCAACTACCAATTACTAGTATAGGTCAGCCCCAGTAGGCTCGTATGGTCTGTATCTTCAAGATCAAAACAGACTCTTGCTTAACTCTTGCTACCCATCCACTTGCTTATCTGCAATACCTACAATGCTGTATGCTGCACTGCCCAGTTATCTTCACTTACCACGTGTTTAATACTTAACTTTGAACTGGCGATTGTAGGTATTTTAAGCCAAGCACTGCCGTGTCATCTCGTATCTTGTATAACCGATGATAGTTATTAAATATTAGATATTAGTGATTCTGTTATTTAACCGATATTCCCTTTATTTGTTCTCTTCTTTAAAAATAGTACAGGTGTCGTGGTGTATTCATTCTTCTTTTATTATTTCGTGATGTTTCAGTGGGTGGTGTCGTTTTAGGACTTATCCTCTGTACTGTACTAGGAATGATCTTCTTACCTTCACTAACAGGGAGGTGAGTTTCATGTCGTTATTAATCTTTTCTAAAGATGTCACCGTCATATATGCTCTTATATTTACTAAAATTATCACTGTCATCTTCCCTTGTCTTCACTAAAGACATCACTTAAGTTTAATCTCTTAGCTTCACTAACAGAGGTATTATGTCTTCATTTATCTTCTTTGAAGGCATGATTTTCTTCACTTATCTTCATTGAGGACATCTTTGTCGCATCTACGTCTATCTTCACTACTGTAGCAGTTGTGTTATATTGTCTTCATTTATCACCCCTAAGGACATCACTGTCTTGTCTTCATCTATCTTTACAGCTCACCTGATGATTTTTTTGTCACCACTTATCTTCACTGAGGACACCTCTGTCGCATCTTCCTCTATCTTCACTACTGTAGCAGTTGTGTTATATTGTCTTCATTTATCACCCCTAAGGACATCACTGTCTTGTCTTCATTTATCTTTACAGCTCACCTGAATGTCTGGTTGACGGAAGCGGCCGCCCGGAGTGTGTTAGAACTAGTTGCGTTTTTGTCCGTCGTGTTTTTGCCGGTTACCACCGTTCTCGAGGCCGCAGGACGATTAGCGTTGACACAGACACATGCTGCGTATCTCAGCCCGCCTGCGGAGACGACACTGTCAATCTTGTCACAGTTGGGATGGAGCGGCTTACGAACTGTGGGCTGAGTGTGAGCTTCTCAATTTATGAGACACTAAAATAGCTAAAAACCATACGTATGGTGCATTTATCATATTTAATAGTAATATTTCTAAGCTGACCAAAGTGGCGGAATGTTGCTGTGGTGGAGTGTCATGCCATCGTGTTGATGCAGGCTGTTGGATTAAAAATTCACATCAAAACATTGAATGTAAACTAGAACGCTCATTCTCATTTTTGATCGTGTTGTCAAGTCATATTTGAAAACCGATAATCCGGAGACATTGCAGTTCTACATAGTCATTTCCATTTTGCGTAAGGAATCCAATGTCTTAGAAATCCAATGTCTAAGATTGTACACAAAATACTCCTTAACTGGCGGAGCAGTGCTTGGAGATTAATATTCTGTTTGGATCTCAATTAGACCTCTCCTGAAAAAGGACGAGAGGGAGGGTATGGCACAAAAACAGTTTAAAGTAGACGGGGTTTCCTATGATTCTTTTTACTGTACTTTCTAGTGACACCTATCAGTTGGTTCACAATGACAGTTTTAGATGTTTTGCATTTTCCTCCAAGCGGGGTTTCAGGCTGTTAATTTGAGCATTTGGGCCGAACAAAAGTGCCTTACAGTGCTAACTGGTATTTGTTCACACAATTAATTACCAAGCATGAATCCACTTAGGTCATCCAGTGTCGGTGTCGGTGCACGGAGCTTTGTCGCCACAAGCTGTAGTTCAAGGTCTATCTTCTGTGTCAATGTCATCGCCTAAGGGCTTGGACTGCCTTTACTTTTACACGGCCACTAATTGTAATGGTTTTACCAACCACGCCTACACAGTGCGTTCACTTTTGTTTTATTGTCACCTTTATGACTGTTAAGTGATTTGAGACTGTACTGATTGAATATCTGTACAGTGTCTATACTTAAAATTCAAAATTTACACTGTCGAGGGGAAAATGTGGAAAGGTATTGGCCTTTTTTACGACGGACATAGCTATTTGATTTTTCACATATGAAACCCTCAGCTGATGGATCATTCTTTATGTTTTCCTTAGATAAAGTAATAAAATACCTCGCCGCAGCAAACCTGGTATGCCAAGCAAACATTTCATTTGCCTTATTTAATTTTCATTAAATATTTCCTTAAATATCCCCTATATATATATATTCCCTATATAAATAACATTAGGTTTAGTGTTATTTTAAATGTCAGAGTATTTAGGTTTGCTGCTACAGGGCAACAATGAAGATTATTTTCAGTGAAATATTAATAGCTACGTATTGAATAAATATATAAAGGCTACTTACAGTATTTGCAATCCTGTTAATTGAGCACTACGGCCGTTTCGGAGACTCCATCGTCCGGTGCGTAGTCATCATACACTAAACTGAACTATTTACATATTTACATTTTTTACGTGGTTTCTTCATTTTCATTGCGTCAAAGTTTAATAAATAATACATGCAACACAAGACAAGGACACGACATGAAAACATTAAGGCACTTGCACGACTAAAAACTGACGACCGACTCATTGAAACCAATTGACCGTATTGAATAAACCAATTTGTCAAATTTGATCAAAATATAACCATTAATAAGCACAAAAAGTACAAGTACAAAGTACAAAAAATTACTTATTCAACATAAGAGTAAAAAGAGAGTTTAAAATTTATAGTTTTCCGGAATTTTCTCCATGACTAAATGTTCTCCAACGCTTTTACCCGTTATTAATTAGTAAGTTACACAAAATGGGGGGAAACGAATTGTAACGACTGCACGCTCTGTGAGGAGCTCATCTAACTATGTTTTTTCCATATAAAAAAGGTTAGAGCTTATCCATAATGGTCTACTTCTGTACCGTATCCAGGGGCTATGAGTTACATTCTAATGTTAAATAGTCCAAAAGCTTTTATTGTGTCCACTACTTCCTTGGAAGGTCCATTTCACCTATGCCTGGTAATTGATCAGGTCCTAGGACGTCTTCACGTGTGTGTTAATGGATGTGAAAAGTTGGAATGGACACAAAAAATGCAGTTAAATGTGTATTGTAAAGCTAAGCAGCCTGACCTGACCCCGTTGACTGACATAAAGCCACTTTATAAACTAAGACATTATAAACACTGGATTATCGAGCTAGGTTTGTTATATTAATGTCTCCAAATAGCGTAAAAAACGCTAATTTCAGCATATTGTTTTTAAAATCTTCCCCGGACCCCCTCCAATTCCATCCCCCAGGCCCCCCGGTGGGCCACCCCTAGCGACCCCTGTTTTGACTACGCTCTTGCCCCCCTCCATATTTTGGTCCTGGGTACACTCTTGTACGTTGACTCACGCTGGCGTTACCAATAACTGTTGTGTTGTGGTAAAACAAATTGAACACTTATAATTTACTACTTCATCATTCACAGCACATTCAAGCTTTGACATTCCTTCACATCGCGTTAAATGGTTGTACATCATTGTAATGATTGCCTTGCACTGCGAGACAATCACGACCTTACGTTACTTACCGTAGATGGTCTTATCGTTATATCTAGAAACGTGGCATGGGAATGTGCGTTATTAAAAAAGAATCATGATTCAGTAAACACGATAACTGGAGTAATTTCGGTCTGATTTTGATGACATTTATCATGCATGTTTGAAGCTTTAACTTTGTTAATTTTGCGAACCAGCAAGACCTGGTAATCGGAACGAGGTGTTGTCGGACTTTTATTAGGATTTTTTAATTTTCTACCCTAAAAACATAAAAATGTCCAATTCGCATTGCAGCTATCTTGCAGATAAAAATTTGATTATGAATGTTGTAGCTTCATCGTACTATTAAAGTTTTCGGAAAAAATTCCGAAGAATCAATTTTAAAATCCCGTGTTATTATTAAGGAGAAAAAGCAAACGATTGTAGTTTGCTTGTTTATGGATATATTATATACAAATTTGGTAAATTTATTTATTTCATATTACACTGCTGTATTTTACAAAAAACCCGAATTTTTCTTTTCTGTAGCAGTAACTTAAAACTTAGTTAAACCCAATGTCATTATTATCGGCGATGAATCTAAAATGTTATAGGAAAAAGTTTGAAAAATCCCATCAGGTAAAAAGAAATTCGCTTTGTGTATAGGTTTGCTGCCGCAGGGGTATTTATTATAAAAGCGATTGGAGTCACATGAGTGATTTGAGTTACATGAGTAAATACTCATGTGACTCCAACCGCTTTTACAATAAATACCCCTGCGGCAGCAAACCTATACACAAAGCTAATTTCATGAAAAGAAAATCTTAAAAATGCTAAGAAACAGAATGTTCATTTTAACCAAAGGGAAGTCCCGTGTGTTGTATTGAAGAACAGGTTCTGCACATTAGATTGGTTGAATATTTTACCCGATCGATTGTGATTGATTATGCCTATCTCCAGATTCCTTTTGTCCAAGGTCAGGAAGTGTGCTCTGATTATCGATTCACCTTGGGTTACCG